TATTTACTTGCCAGGCGTGTATATTACAGTCGAATAAAAAACTTTCATCTGCATGTTATGCAGTGAGAATTGTATCAAACAATTTGGGTCATTCCATGGCGAAAAATGTGTACTGCTCCTTGATAGAGTCTAACATCGGGTAGGGTATTTAGTGCTCAGTGTCATATCCACTCTGTTTTTGTATTACAAAAACGTTCTCCGAGTTACATGTGTGGAACGAAACCTCAAGAACATTGCAGACCTTTTTTGATAAGGGAAAAATCACTGACTTACTTCTGCATTTTTATATTGGAAACGGTGACAATGATACAATAAAGACATAGAATTTCACCTTATTTGTGTAATCAATATGGTCGAAATGAAGGATCTTTAAAATTACCAATCCAAGAAATACACTACACGGTTTACTATAAAGATTTCCTAGGTATTTTTGATGATCTTTCCTTTTCAAGCTTCTTAGAATGGCCACAAAGATGAGGATTTCGACATGGATGGAAAATATTTATCAGATTACACTGATAGTAATCACTGGTTAATTTGTAGGTTCAAATTAAATCGCCTCTGTGCCTTCTTTCTTTAAGGGATGTCAAATTGAAATTGTGTAATCTTTCCGGATATGGCAACTGTTTCAACTGTGGGGCAATTTTTGTTACTTTGCGCTGAATCTTCTCAAGAAGTTATGTATCCCTAATGTAGTATGGATTCCACACAGTATAAGCATGTTCTATTTTTGGCCTTATATAGCTTTTGTAAAGGGTAGACATCATCTCGATGGAGTGGTCTCTAAAGGCATGGTTAAATAAGTATACGCAGGAGTTAGCTATTTTAGTTATTGTAATTATGTGATTCTCCCACTTCAAGTCGGTTGTTACTATAACCAACAGTGGCGGCTCGTGACAATCATGTAAGGGGGGGCTCAGAAAAAAATGTTTGAAGATTTTTCATCATAAATTCGCAGTCTCTACATATAAATTCATAGGTCAAAATTTTTGACACATATCCACGAATTTTTATTGTATATTTCTTTGTCAAACTTTCGCGAAAACTGTGCCTTCTTTTTACATTTTGATTGTACCTGAGTACCTGCACAATGTTCAATATTGGCAATGGTCGTCCAGTATTTTTCAAGTCAAGTTTGTCGTTTAGACTCAAAGAGCTGAACACGAGTTTTTGTAATTCACTGACCTTCATATTAGCAAATTAAATTAACAAACTTTCCGAATTCCAATAAAAAACTGATAAAAAACCTAATCCAAAAACAAAACATTGAATAAACGCCGGCAACCGTCGAAAGCGCGAAAATTTCCTGATTCCGGGCGGAAGATTTGGAGCCCAATAAACGCACCGCCTAGCGCGATATTTGGGTGACGTCACACGTTCGTCGCCATGGCAACCCACGTTAATCCTGGCACTAGCCGGGACGCATTTTTCCGTTTCCTATTTGGTTACCGCTACATGGAGCGCTAATCTTTTAGGAATTGTGAAACTTTCTCTGGCATAGCGTTTCCTATTAGGCCAGCGCACATTGTCTACCGCTACATGGCGCGCTACTCCTATAGGACTTGTTAGCTATATCCGGCGTCGCGTTTCCTATTAGACCAGCGTACATAAATTAAATAGATACGCTCATTTTGCCAACCATGCTGTTACATGACATTTTAATAATAATAATTAATGAAACAACTTGTAGAGTTTAATTTTTTTTTATTAAATAAAAAAAAATGGCCTTTTACATTTTATAAAAAGGTAATGATTATTTTATACTTTTGGCATTCCGTTTATCTGCCAAAATATTTGAAATGAAAGACCTTGTTCTCTTTGTTGCTTTTTTTACGTAATTTTTCGGCATTAGATGGTCTGCCTAGGATTGATGTGACCATTGGCAAGTACTTCACATACTGTTTTCATAGGTGTAGTTGCCACCAGCGAAGATCTGTGAAATGATTTTGCTTCGATAGCCGACAGACCTATCTTCAAAATACTTGTAAAACTTTTCTTTCGTTAACAATTTTTTTAAAGCAATATAGGCACAAACTCTTTTAGCGTCCCTCGTATTGAGTCAAAATTCTAGCCAATAAATATATTCAGTGCAGCGGTGTACGCAATATTTTTATCATTTTAATCAACAATATAACGGTAAAACATTATCCCGCAGAAGCGTAATTTGTAGCAGCAGAAAACTCGCCTTTCCACTACATACACTGTTCATCATAGTAGTCAGGAAAATCTACTTCATATTCACTTTCCTTCTTACTGAAACAACTTATAAATTTAGACGTAGTAACAAAGTTTTTAATTATCTCTTCCATAACGTCAGAATTAACAAATAATAAAACAAAACACAACGAGAAATATTCAAAATTATTGAACCACCTGTAACCACCAATTAACCTCAAAAATTTATGATAATGAAATGGATTACAAAACAATGGATGCCTGCAGACCATCCATGAGACGTTCGCAGAGGGTGTGCGCTGGTCTAATAGGAAACGCGACGTCAGATATAATTCAACAAGTCCTATATGATTAGCGCTCCATATAGCGATAGACAATGTGCGCTGGCCTAATAGGAAACGCGATGCTAAATATAACTTTACAAGTCCTAAAGGATTAGCGCTCCATGTAGCGATAACCAAATAGGAAGCGGAAAAATGCAGCCGGCATGGATTTTCTAGCGCCCGCGTTCGGCAGGCATAAGTTGCCCGTAGAACTAACGAGATGCGTTACTCATTCGATATAACTTGCCCGAATATCGGCATGTTTGAATTTCATTAATTTCAATTTTCATATTATTGTTTTATTGGTTTTTGAATGAAATATTTTTGGGGTTTCAGAGCCCTTTATTACGAGCCTCCTAGATCATTTTGTTCATTTACTGATGTCAAAGGAGAGTCATTAAGAATAGAGTCTTTGTTAGGGTTATTAGGGCCAATCCTTAGTACTGTGAAGTTTGAAGAGTTCAATTTCATTCCCCATGTTTCTGACCGGTCTTCAATGTTCTTAAGATCAGTTTGAAGTAAATTCGCATCTATCAAAGGATTTGCATAGATTTTGCAATCATCTGCAAACAATTTAACACTTGATTGGATTAGTTCCACCAAATCAAAAAGATACGCTGTGAAGAGCACCGAACCTTGCACGACGCCACTGGTTACCCTGTGAGGACTGGAAAACTCTCCATTAACTCTCACTCTTCTAGCAGATCCTTGATTAAGGCAAGCAACTTTCCTCTAACTCCAAAGTGCTCTAATTTCACTAATAACAGGTTATGTGGGACTTTGTCAAATGCTTTTTCTTAATCTAGATAGATCTTTTGGTAGGCCGTTGTCATGGTTGTTCCAATCATTTAGACATTCCAAAAGATTGGTAGTGGTAGAACGTTTTGGTAGAAATCCATGTTGGGCTGAAGGTATGAGATTGTTCTCTAGAAAGAAAGATATTAGTAAGACTGATGGAGCGATAATTTCGTGGTCTATGTCGAACTCCTTTTTTGTACAGTGGCGTGACAATGGAATATTTCCAAGGTGCTGGAATATTTGTTTGAAGCATAGATTCCTGCATCATCCCCGCAAGCAATGGGCTAATTGTGGCGCTAGAATTTTGAAGAAAAACTGTTGGGGTTGGGATTTCATCAGGTCCTGGGCTTCAGTATTTTTTCATACATTTCAGAGCTTATTCTACTTTATCAGTTGTAAATTGTATTACTTCGATAAACCTCTCCACTCTATTGTCATGCAGGACTGGATTCGGATAAGCTTTAGTTGTAAAAGCTGTGTCAAATTGCTCTGCAAATTTCTCTGCCATGGCTACACCATCCATGGTTGATACCATGGAATTCAAGTTTCGACTTATATACTTAAACAGGTTTTTTGGTGAATCCGCATTCGGAAGACCATTTTCATACTTTCTCCGGACATCAAATAACTTCTGCTTAGTTTTGTTACTCTGTAACATGTAAGCTTGGTAATTGTTTTTTCTTATTTGTTTTATAGTTATCCCATAATCTACGTTTCCTATCTATTTCCCTGAATAAATAATGGTTTATCCACGGTTTTTGTGTGTTAGTTTTTACTGGCTTGACCGGTATGTATTTCTCCACTGCATCTCTCATAACACACTGGAAGTTCTGGAATTGTTTTATACATGTGTTCTTATTTGTGATTGTTTCTCTTTTTTGTGATTTTATTAACTAAGTATTTTTAAGTACTTCTGTGTAGCTTACAGATGTCCGCTTTGTAAAGGAGAATTTTATTCTTTCTACAATAAAGCATATATTGATTGACTGATTGATTGAACTTGTGTAACTAAACCACTCAGCTAACGCCTCAAGATTATGGTGTCCTAGAGAACTATCCATTAATAACTATTCATTGGTTGAGAATAATTGAGTAATGAAAAAAAAAACTCACTGTATAAGTAATTAGGTACTCACATTTATCAATAGAAAGTGAATGTTTATCACGCATATTATTCAATAATCATAGAAAAAACGTTTTAACAAACGCTTTCATATAATCGCGTTATAAACCCCAGGTATTGCAAAATTGTATTTCTCGTTGATTTCAACGGGTTTTAAAAATATTGAGAAAAATATATGTATGTACCACACACAAGCAATAGGTGATGTAATGCTGATTTTCAATTTTATCTCTTTTGTTTTTCCTTCTAAGAAAAAAAAAAGTCCATCAATAGTGATATGAAGTTTTCAGCTTTATCCTGGACTTCATATTATTAAAATTCAAATCTAGAGCCAACATTTCGATGCCATCCCTAAAAAATCCAGCGGCAAAGCAAAAAACAGTAAAAAATTCATAATTTGAATTGCCACATCCAAAACTGTTTACTTTGATACATTTTTTCAAAGTACTTGATACACTACCCTGTGTATGGCAATAGCCTTCATATTTACCAGTACTTAGTCTCTGAGATAATGAAGTAGCATTCACAATAGTTGATAGAATGTAAAACGTTAATTTATTAGTTCGTCACGCAAATCGAAATAATTCCGGTTCTGTAGTTTACATGAATAATTCCACCTTCCTGTAACATCAAGGTCTTCTGCTGTAGGTATCGATTTCTTAAACCAAATGCTAATTTTTGCTATTATATACATATTAATATTTATAACAATAAGTATTACTTACTGCGGGTAAATAGATATGCGACTGTAACTTTTACTAATGAAATGAAAATGGAATAAATTAATGGCATTGAGTATGTTGGCAATTACTGCAGAAGGATGGAGGCCGAATTAACTGAAGTCGACAAGTTATACTTTCCGCACCATTTTCAAAAGAGGCTACCGTTCGACAAGGTTCTTGGAGAACATGTCAGTTTTTTTAATAATGGTAAGGATTTTTTTTTGCGCTGACTCCACTAACTGATAAAATTTAATCAACTTCTCATCGATTTAGAATCCGAGAAAGTTAAAAATTCAATACGATGTGAATTTGATGTGCCCTATGGTTTCCTGCCACGCGAAAAATATGATATTATTGGAATTGATCTTCCTGATGGTAAGTATAAAGTTTTGTTTTTCAAAAAATCCAGTTATTATTGCAAAATATTATAGACTCACCAATACTCATCCATGTTCATGGTGGCTACTGGCAGGTTAAAGAAATTTCTCAAAGTAACCAGGCGTTTATGGGCAAAATCCTACATAAGCACAACATCAAAATCATAAATCTTGGTTACGGATTGTGTCCAGATATAAGCCTTAAAGAAATTCTAAATGAAATTGCAGCTGGTATACAAAGATGCTTGGAATATGCTAAAAGAAACAAATCCAGGTAGGTGCTCAATAAATGACAACATTCTACCTGGGCATGCTAAAATTACTTATTCTTTTTAGGGCCGTTTTCCTTTCGGGACATTCTGCAGGCGCCCATATGATTGCCTACCTATTTTCAAATGTTATTACTAATTTACCAACCGAAGAACAAAATCTTATCAAAGCAGTTTTCATATCTTGCGGCATCTACGACTTAACGCCTCTAACTAAAACCGTCATCAACCAAGGTTTAAAATTAACTGAAGAAACTGCAAAAGAATTGAGTCCGCAATATTTGAATATTTCGACCCCTGAACATATTAAGTTTTATGTTATAGTAGCAGAATTCGATTCTCCTAGGTTTATAGAGCAAGGAAAAATGTTTTATGAAAAGCTCAAAGGGAATAATATTGATGCGGAATACAAAGTTTTAAAGGCAATTGATCATTTCAATGCGATTGAAAACATTGTTGATGAAAACTTTCAGGTTACTCGGCTAATTATTAAAGTTATTGAAGAATCAAAGAAATGATTGCACTACTATAATATACTTTTAATATCATGCCATTTTAAGGTATAATTTTGACAATGGAAGAATAAGGCCTCAATACTAAAATATCTAAGTTTATGTAATACAAAATTTATTTAAATACAAATATCAAATTATCAAAAACTATTGTTTTAGTTGGTTAGCTAACAAAGGTAGAAGCTTAAATACGGAATAATCAGGTTGTTCTTTAACTTCAACTTTAAATTCTTGTAATGTTTTTAAGTTGTCAATGTACTAAAAGAATAAGATATTTTTTATTAATAATTAAATTATTAATTACAAAAATGTATTGATTCTTACCTGATTTATTATGCGTAAATTTTCATTACACTCAGCAAATAGGTTCCCTGATGTCGGATCGATCTCATATTTAGGTTTTTTATTCGAGGACATAATCTTTTTTTTTTGTTCCAATAATTGAACGGAATTCACTTCTTTTTCAAACTTACTAAAGTTTTCATTTATTTCACCATTTACAGTTTTAGTAAATTTCAATGCTGTTTCCAAATTCTTTTTATTATTATCAATTTCTAAATGTAAATTGTCAGATTTCAAATGCAATTTATAAAGTTCTTCTAGAATACTTTCTTGGTCGCTTATACATTGGTATTCTTCGTTTGACAAAGGTTTGATTGCAAAATTGGGGAAAAGGTTTAAATCCCTGTTTTCTAAAATATTTAAGTCCTCTAATGTTATTGGTTTAACTTCTTCAGTAAGCGCTTCTGACTTTTTCACTTCGTCAATGAAGTTGAACATTACATAGAAAATTTGAAGCTGCAATAAAATGTATTTAACTTAAATATTATTAACTTCAACATAAAAAAATTTATAGTTCTATACTAGATTCTACTAAAAAATTTAATAATTGAGTAATAACATTAAACATTTTGCCATATATTCAAGCCTATGATGTATCCTGTCCAGTTATTTTAACGGCTGTGTTAAGGCTCAACATCTATTTCTGTCTCTATTTTGACGTATAGAATAAACAGTGACAGATAACTTAACGTTGCTGTTAAAATAATAGCAAATGATATATCATATAGGCCATTATGTAGGTACGAGGTCCAATTTGGCCAGTTAAAATAATTGAAATAAAGAAATTTTGGAATTAAGACAGGATTTGGGTGAATATGAATGAAGAGGCGACAAGCCTTTTGGTTTTGGATGACAAGCTGGCATGTGCTGGCGTTTAATGACCATACTTCTATCATGTCAATCGTTTTTTGAAATCCATATAAGGTAAGTAATCCTGTAATTGTCCAATAGCAGCCGGTGAAACCGATGAAGCTTTCTTTGAACTAAGTTTACTTGCAAGTCATATGCATTTTTTTACACCAAGCACTGTACTGTATCATTCTTGCTGAACTATTCTTAAGTTCCAACTCCAGTCTGTTCTTAAACTCGTTTATACTACTGGCACTATGCTCTCCTCGGCCAAGGCATTTCACGAATAAACATCACGATTTGTTAGACATGTTTTTCTATAAAAAATAGGAATTATGGCTGCATTTTTTTTGTCTTGTTTTTTTGAGTGCCCTCGGAGTTGCTGGTTTCGATTTTCGGGAAATATCCCCGACATGTCGCAATTGTAGTATCCATTTGTTATTTCAAAGGTCGTAATAAAATCTCCCCTGTGCCCTATTTCTCTTAATATTGTTAATGGGAATCTTGCAAGTCTCTGGGGATAAATTAATTTTTTCATTTCTGATAATATCTTGGTTACCCTCCTCCCTCCTCTATATTTTTCTAGAATTTCTATGCCCTCTTGCTCGAGAGTTTGCCTATCATTTGGACAGATTGGTCTTTAAAAGCATGTTCAATCAGATAGGGTCGGTTTCTCAATAGCGGGTCACCTCCGGGTTGGTTTTAACTCCCGGGTAACCGTGTCCAGTTCAGTTGCAATGTTGTTGAGTTATGCTTAACCCGGGGGTGACTTGCGATTGGGAAACCGGCCCATAGACAAATGTACTGAGGCGGAATTCTGTAACAGAGAGTCTTCTTCTCTCTTTTCAAAATCAATAAAGAGGGGACGTCAATAGAGATAGCGAAAATATCTCTATTCGTTACAGAATCCCAGCCCTGGCTTTTTTTAGCTACATATTTTCACAATGTGATTCTGCTATTTTGAATCTGATGTTACTAGGACTTGCTCTGTGACAGGTGGTAGTGCTGTGTGCTGTGTTCAGTTATGGTTATGACGTTGCTTTTTCATGTATTCTATCTCATCGGCAAGAAGTAAATAAACAAATAAATAAATAAACATAACTATTTTTCATTGGGCTTCTTTAGGCCGATTCTAAGCACTGTGCATTTTGACTTGTTGAGTTTCATATTCCAAGTTTTAGTCCATACTTCAAGATTATGCAAGTCTGCTTTTAGTTGTGCTACATTGAGAACAGGGTTGGCATCCTGCAGAAGAAGGCTGTTCGTGCTACTGTTAATGCTGGTCAAAGATATTCGTGCAGACCCCATTTTATTTGTCAGAGGATTCCTACTCTTACTTAAAAGTCTCTTCGTCCTTGAAACGGCATGTCTCATTTTTAAAAATCCCTGAAATGTCCAAGACCCTGTCCGTGTACGCTTTACTCGACAAATTCACATACTTTCCTTGCCAGTTCCAACTGGCGCACTGGTGAAAAAGGTCACTTATTTAATGAGGGAAGAAACATATTCAACCATCTTCCCACTGTGATCAGAAACGCAAGGCACCTGAAGCATTTTAGAAAAAAAAACACAAGATATTGTCTTAATATTTTTCTATTGACAGCAGTCTTCCTTGTACTCCAAATTGCTCAACATTTCCAAGCAACAGGTACCTAATGTGGCACTTTCTCAAGAGCCTTCTCCTAATCAAGATAAATGATATCAGTATCAGTGGACTGGAGGTTGTCATGGTTCTCTGTCCAATCATAAGGGCTCTGTTCCAAGTTCCAACCGACATGAAAACTGTTCTAGAACGGTAATTTCCAGTTGATCAATTCATTTGTCAAGTAGGTAAACATTTAACCTCGCATTTAACTTATTGAAATATAGGTGGGCTTCTGGAAATTACTGGTTTAGGAACGGTTCTCATGTGGGTTGGAACACTTGGAACAGAGCTCAAGACCCTCGTGTAGATTGGTGAAAGTGGAGCATTTTGATAGGAACCCGTGCTGTGAAAAAGCTGTTAAGCATAACTTTTTCCACACACTTCAACTGGTTAAATGTTAGACTTATGGGGGGTCAGTAATTCTCTGGTTTGTGTCTGTTGCCCTTTTTAAAGAGGGGTGGAGGCACCACTGAGAGCTTCCATTTCTCTGGTATGCGTCCCAAGTCGAGACATTCCTACATTACCGTAGAAAGTATAGAGAACCAACCAAATCACCACAATTTTATAGCATAATGGTTAGTATCCTGTCTAGTCCTGGAGTTGAGGCCTTTTTCATATTGTTTAGTACTCTTTTGATTTTTTCTTTTGTGAATTCTATAGCGTTTATCTAATTCCAGGCTCTGATGTTTGCATGCAGGGGTGGAAGATGTAACTGCTGATGTTGGGTGAAGGATTTGTTAAACTCTAGGTTAAACTGCAAATTTTTCAGTCATGGCTTCATTGTCTAAAACTTCTTCGGTTATTGAATCTTTAAGTGTGAATTGTTGTCACCTTAGAGTTCAAGTATCTACTTATATATTTGTAGATTCTTCCTTGAATTATTTGGTGAATCTGCATTAACTAAGCCATCCTCATCTCTGCTATCTTCAACAATTTTTTTTTTAGTGTGTTACTTTTGGTCATACTTAAGCCTGGTAGTTTTCGTCGGATTTATTGTTTTTGTATTTATCCCAAAGTCTGCGTTATTTGCTGATTTGTTTAAACAGTTTTTGAATAATCCATGGCTTTTGCTAATTGGCCTTCACAGACTTCAATGAAATATATTGTTTTATTGTCCCATTTAGGATCGTCTCAAACCTTTCAAATTTTGTAAGGCCCATGTTGGTTTCAGGATCTAATATAGTTGTTTATTTCATCATAGTTGGATGTATACCAAGATGTATACATACCAACTCGGGTACCAAGTGATTATTGATGATCGCTACACTTGCCAGGTGGCTCATTTCAGATCAAAAACATATCTAACAGAGACCTAAGGTAACTAACTGTAAATTCAACAAGGGCGATCTGATTGAATGAAGTGCTACTGTATATGGTAGTTACTCCAGTAAACCGTTCCACATTAGATTCCTCCCTCAGTAATAACACTTTCGGTAACACTAAACTTGAAGGTGAAAAAATGTCTGTATGTATACAAATCTAGAATTTTGTTTCTAAAATTATTTTCCACAAAATATCTTATTATGACAATCTATGTTTCAAGGTATAGTATCATAGTCATACCATACCTAAATGTTTTGCAATTACAAATGTAACAATAAAGGGACGATTCCATTTAAGTATCCCTGTGAGCAGAACTTTATAATTCAATTAGGTGCCTACAAGGGGTAAACCGCAGGGGAATGTTGGTGCACAGTCTTCAGGAAGTAGTAAGAAATTAGAGGAATTAGAGGGGAATTAGAGAAATTACTGAGGAATTATGGGAATTTGTCAGGAAATTTGGGGAATTAGTCGGGAAATTCGGGGAATTAGTCGGGATATTCGGGGAATTAGAAAGAGAATGGTGGGGAATTATAGAAACCAAATCAGTCAACGTCGCATCACATAGAACTGCTAGGGATCTAGTGTATCCAATGAAACATAGATGGATTTCATCAATCTGTTTTATATTATCTATTTTATAATTTTTCTTGAAAGGACATGCAGTAATTGCGTTTTGTTTACGATGAACTGATGCATTTATGATAGAAATGGAAAAAAATAAATAAAATTATTTCCTTTCAGCCAGCGAAATATAAATCTGCTTGTCCAAGAATAAACCCTTTCTGCGTAAAAATATAGGGCTGTATAAAGGTATGAGGAACTTTTGGAGAACATATGTGAAATAGAAACTGTCCAAAAGACTGATGAATCTGTGCCTGATTTAACTCGACTATTCAAAAATTCTACTAGCTCAAACTATGCTGAATAGATTCCTGGAAGGCTCGAGTCAACAAGGTACGTTTCCTGCCACTTCTGCTGAAGCAATCAAGATATATATTTAAACTGGAGTACAAGCAGAATATGCCTATCTAATACTGGCTCAACCGTAACATGCTGGGACATTGACATACTGTCTGTCCTTATTCGGAACTGATAATTCCGAGGATAATTCATTGACTACTGAGCAGGTCACTTTGAGATGGGAATGGATGAAGGAGAAAGCTAAGAAATTTGGCAGCACAATTATGGGATTTTCCCTAGGATTTTTCTCAGACGGATAATCGCCTTCTAAGAGATATGCATTTAAATAATGATTTGTTGTCTCGTTTAATTCCTGAATAAAAAGAAAAAAACAATCCCAGAAGATACAGAAGTACTCCATTCTTTGCCAGTTCCATATTGGGAGTGGTATCACTGCTGCAGTGAAAAAAAAAAAAGAAGAATGTACAAGACACCACACATATTTGAACAAATATGTGTACCTCATTGGTACCCACTCGTTTAATAAAAACCTGATGGAATAAAAATGCCAGAACAAAAGCTACCATGTAAAGAAGAAATTCTCAATTTGGATATCCAAGCTACCTACAGTTGAAGAAACTATACAAAATGTCATAGAGGATTGAGACAATTAGGTCTCAATGCTAAAGAAAGCGATTGGAGATATATGCAGGTACCTTCAATAAACCGAACACAAAAT